GATGCTTGAGGAGTAGGAACATTCTGTCACCTCTCTGTCTTCTCACTCTCTCAATCCCAAATTCTCATCCCACTGCTTCTGTCAGGCCCCATTTTTAGTGGGAATGGGGTGCTGGAGCTTTGGCAGAGGGAAAAGTAATGCTAAAACCTTTAATTCTCCTTGTTTTCAAGCACCCTCATTGGCAGCCTGTGAGCTGGACACACGTGGCTCTTCCCTAGGGAATTATTTTTGGGATGATATCTTGGCTAAGAAACCAAAAAGAAACGGACAAGACCTACAGCTGGTGATGGACAGGTTAAAAAAAAAAAAAAAAAAAGGAACAACAGAGGTGGGAAGCATCAGATGCCAAAGAAAACCACGGTGGATGAGGTGAGGGAAATTTGGAGAGGCACCAGGATGGCTCAGGAGCATGGAGGGCATTCCTGCCATTCCCCAGCTCGTGCCCACACATCCGTGGGGGCCCATCCACCCACCAGGAAGGGGGAAATCCAACCCAGCCCTTCCTCCTGGAGGGGAAAGGCACAGGAATGGAGAGGCCAGGAGGAGGAAGTGGCGCTCAGGGGATTAGGTGGCCATGTGGCTGCTCCAAATCCTCATTAGGGGCTCGTTAAGGACATGAAAGCTGCTTTTCCTGCTTCCGGTCCTGCACCCCTGGAGCTGCTCCTGGCCAGCTCTGGCTCCCTTTTCCTGATCAGTTTTGGTTCCCTTTTCCTGGCCTGTTTTGGTTCCCTTTTCCTGATCAGTTTTGGCTCCTTTTCCTGATCAGTTTTGGTTCCCTTTTCCTGATCAGTTTTGGCTCCCTTTTCCTGATCAGTTTTGGTTCCCTTTTCCTGATCAGTTGTGGCTCCTTTTCCTGATCAGTTTTGGCTCCCTTTTCCTGGCCAGCTCTGGTTCCCTTTTCCTGGCCAGCTCCAGGGACCATGGGAATGGGGGGTGGTGGGAAGGAGATGGAGTGAGGGATCCCTCTCCTGGTTGTGTTGCTGGCAGATGTTGGTGACAAGCAGCTCTGTTGGAATTCCACTGGTCTGAGCAGCTCCTGGATTGCACCTCTGGGATGTCCCACAGGTCTCACACCCAGCCCTGTGTGGTGGCACCTTGGTGGCAGCACCCTTTGTGTCACCCCTGCTAAAGCCAGGGTGACCATGACAATCCCTGTGGTCAATTTTCCAAATTTGGGAGCAGGACAATGCCCCAAATCAAAGGGGTTGTACTATGCCAGGGTGACCAGGACATCCCAATGCCAAAGCTCTCCAATTTTGGGACAAGGACACTGCTCCAGTGGGGTGATTCAGTGCCAGGGTGACCAGGAAATTCCCATGGCCAAAATCTCTCCAGTTTTGGGAGCAGGAATCTGCTCCAAGTCAAAGGTTTGGCCTCGTGCCAGGGTGACCAAGACATCTCCATGGCCAAAACCTCTCCAATTTTGGGACAAGGACACTGCTCCAGTGGTGTCATCCTGTACCAGGACAAATCACCAAAAATTCTCCACTTTTGGGAGCAGGAACCTGCTCCAAGTCAAAGGTTTGGCCCCATACCAGGGTGAGCAGGACATTCCCATGGCCAAAATTTCTCCAATTTTGGGAACAGGAACATGCTCCAAAGGAAAGGCACCGATTCAAGCTGACATTGACATTCCCATGGCCAGAACCTCTCTGGATTTGTGAGCAGGACAATGCTCCAAGGGAATGGCACCAAGCCAAGGTGACCAGGCCACCCCCTTGCTGTGAGAGGGTCAGACAGAGTCAGTTAAACTGAGACCTGAAAGTCCCTAAATCCCGTGGATTTCCAAAGCACCTGGCTCCTCTAAGCTGCTTCCTTCCTTCAATACAGACACACAATATGGAACCTTAATCATCCATCCCCAATCCCTGACTGGGAAGAACTGGGAGAGTGAAGTGCAAACCAGCTGGATTTGTCCCTTTCTGCCCCAAATCTGCTGCTCTGGTGTGAGATTCCACAGGCAGCTCCCAAAGAGGAGCCCATCCCTCCTGCCCAGCTCCTCGCCCAACCCATCCCCTAAAAAATGCAATATTCTCACTGGAGCTTTGCTCTTCCAGGGAAAGAAATGAGTCATTCCCAGCCCCAAAGGGTTCTTGGGGCCCAAAAAGCCAAATTGTGAACAACCCCACGAGCCCAGAAGCAGAAGGACTGAAACAATAACCCTCCACCCCCTCCCCACTGAATCTACTACTGCTTTTTTTCAACATGGTTTAACAAATTCCTCAAGATTTGCCTGGAAACTCCAATCCCTGGACAACTGAATGGAGATTTTACTGCCCATGTGCCTCTGATTACAATATATTACCACTAATGATAATTGTCTGGATTATATTTATCTGTTTCTTTGGCTAATAAACTCTAAAAGACCACCAGTGAAGATGTAATAAAGTGCAGCTGTTGGAGGGAAAAAAAAAAAATTAAAAAGCCTATTTTTTTTTTTTTTTCTAGGTCAGAGCAAAGTTGGGAGAGGCTCGAGAGAGCTGCCTCGACAAGGGGAAGAAAAACCTAACTGGAAATAAGAAGAGCTCCTCAAGGCAGCTTTCATTAATCTGGAACTTTTCTGCCAGAACCAGCACTGGGCTTTATCTGCCAGCAGGACAAGGGGAGGGAGGTGCAAGCTCTGCATTTCTCTCCTGCATCTCATTAGCCTCAAAATGGACCCTTGGGCTCCTCAGAAATGTTCCTGGCCAGGGATGCACCTACAAAGGGAAGAAGGAGGGAAGGGAAGGAGAATTTTTGTTCTCAGAGTGGGGGTGAAGCTTCCCCAGCATGGAACATAAGCTGGTTAAAGGCACACAGGGTGAAGCTTTGCAGGTGCCAAAGGGCAGGAAAAGGGAAAAAAAACCCAAAAAACCAAAACCAACAAATCTCTCATCTTCTAGGCCAATGGAAATTAAGGAAGTTGGAGAGAAAAGCTGGGAAGCAGCCAGGAATAAACACCCTGGTGCTGAACTGAGGACTGGGCAGATAATGGAGTGTCCAGAGTCAGGGAAACATGGAATGGGTGGGGTGGGATCTGAAGGATCATCCACATCCACATCCACCCCCTTCCACACCTCCCACTGGCCCAGGGTGCTCCAAACTCGCCTTGGACACTTCCAGAATTGGGGAATCCATCCCAGCCCCTCCCCAGCCTCACAGGGAACAATTCCTTCCCAAAATCCCACCCAGCCCTGCCCTCTGGCAGTGGGAAGCCATTCCCTCTGTCCTGTTCCTCCATCCCTTGTCCCAAGTCCCTCTCCAGGGAATTCTGGAATGGTTTGGGTTGGAAGGGACCTCAAAAGTCACCCAGAGCCACCCCTGGATGGGCAGGGACCCCTCCCACTGTCCCAGGGGGCTCCAACCTGGCCTGGGACATTTCCAGGGATCCAGGGGCAGCCACAGCTCCTCTGGGAATTCCATCCCAGCCAGGAATTCCTTCCCAAAATCCCATTGAAATCTCCACTTTTCCACTGGGAAGCCACTCCCTGTGTCCTGTCCCTCTCCAGCTCTCCTGGAGCCTCTTTAGGACTCTGAGGTTTCCCTGGAGCCTTTTCCTCCCTCACTCCCTGCTCTCCCAAAATTGGGAGAGGTTTGGCCATGGGAATGTCCTGGTCACCCTGGCCATGGGAATGTCATTGTCACCTCCCTTTGCCTCGGAGCAGGTTCCTGTTCCCAAAATTCCAGCCCTCAGGGCATCCCCCCTGGGCACACGGAAATGGTTTCATTGTCCTGAATTCACCACCCCAGGATTCCAAACCCAAGGCAGGTTTGCAGGGAAAGGGATTGTCTTTCATTTCACCAACTAACACAAGCTGAGGGGGAAAAAAAAAAAGAAAAAAAAAAAAAAATCAACCCAGAATATCTCAGAAACACAAGTTCTTCCAATTTTAACAGAATGCTGGAAGAAAAAGTTAATGTATCTTTCATGAGGACAATCTAGATAATAAGCAACACAATTCCACAGCAAAAGGCTGGGATTTTTTTTTTTTTCCTTTTTCTTTCTCTCTTTTTCTTTTTTTTTTTCCCTTAAATAAGCAGGAATTTCTGGTTGTGGAGAGGGGACCAAGGTAAAACTTGAGTCACCAAACATCCCCCAGACAGGAACATGCTGTAACCTCAGGTGTTAAGTGATCCATGAGATTTTACTTTCAGATTTGGGCAGAAACAACAACTTCAGGGGAAAAAAAAAAAAAAAAAAAAGACAAAAAAACCCTAAACCACGACAACCCCTCTGTGTGTCAAACCTAAACTGAAATTGTTATTCAGCAATTTGCAACACTTACTGTCATATTAAAGTAATTTCATTTTATTTTTGCTCGCTGGCTCTGCTCCTGTAACAAAACAGCAAATCTTGGGATTTAAGGGGATATTTGGGAGAGAACTGAATTTATCCTGCAAGGTTTGGGGGCACAGCCTGTGACCCTGGAAAAGGTGGAAATTTTGCAGGCCAGACGTGACAAAACTGTGAGATTTGGGTGTTTTCAGCTCATTTCCAACCTCTCTGGCTACAAAGGCTCTGCAACCTCTCCTCCTTCTTTACATGGAAATATTATTTATAAACATGCAGGAATTTTCACTTCCTTCTTTTTTATTTAGGAAAATTTCCAAATGAAAGAAACTTTTGCTCAACCAGCCAATTTCTGACCCCCTTGGATGATCTCAAGCTGGTTTTGTTCCTTTGCTGGAGCGAAGAGTTGGTAAAAACCAACACATAAACAGAGAGAAAATTGAATTATTCATCTTCTGGGTGTCCCTTCCAGCCTAGGATACTCCACGATTTTATATCTCAGGATTTCTTTAAGCTACAGTGGATCCAAGTGGCCAAACAGGTTAAAATTATTATTAATTAAGGTACCAAATTATTATTAAGGTACAAATTATTTTTCACTAAGGTACCAAAAGCAGTGTGGCAAACAGGACCAGGGCAGGATTGTCCCTCTGATTTCCAGCCTCTCTCCAGGATCCATCCCTAAACTCAGGATGAGGACAATCCCCAGGAGATGATGGTTGGTACTCACTTTTTCAAAGGCTCTATCACTGTCTTTTGGATCTGATTCACCTGTGGAAAGCAAAAAAAAAAAAAAAAAAAAAAAAAAAAAGGGAGGATGGCACGTCAGGATTGCAGGAAAATCCCATTTGCACAAGGATGGGTTTGCACAGAGCCCACCACGGGGTGGGGAGGGATCCTGAGCACAACCACGATGTCCTTTAACCAAAAGAGGGAATTTCTCCCATGGGAGCTGAAATCCCAGCCAGAGGGATGAGATTAGAGGAGCTCGTGTGGGAAAAGTCTTGGGGATGATGATAAAGAGGTGAGAGACAAGGGATGGAGGGACAGGACACAGGGAATGGCTTCCCCCTGCCAGAGGATAGTGGGATTTTGGGAATAAATCCTTCCCTGGGAGGGTGGGGAGGGGCTGGGATGGAATTCCCAGAGGAGCTGTGGCTGCCCCTGGATCCCTGGAAGTGTCCAAGGCCAGGTTGGAGCCCCCTGGGACAGTGGGAGGTGTCCCTGCCATGGCAGGGGTGGCTCTGGGTGACTTTTGAGGTCCCTTCCAACCCAAACCATTCCAGAATTCCCTGGAGAGGGACTTGGGACAAGGGATGGAGGAACAGGACAGAGGGAATGGCTTCCCACTGCCAGAGGGCAGGGCTGGGTGGGATTTTGGGAAGGAATTGTTCCCTGTGAGGCTGGGGAGGGGCTGGGATGGATTTCCCCGAGGATGCCCCAATCCTAGAAGTGCCCAAGGCGAGTTTGGAGCACCCTGGGCCAGTGGGAGGTGTCCCTGCCCAGGGGATGGGATCAAATCCCTCCCAAGCCCAACCATTCCATGATCCCCTGACACTCCCAGCACTCCCAGTTCCCATTTTCTCCTTCACCTTCTCCTGGTTGAAGGAGTCCATCCTCTTCATGGCCGTGTCAAAGGCTGTGACCATCTCGAGGAACGAGGGCTCCTGCTCACACAGGGGGTTGGACAGCAGGTCTGAGGAGATCTTCACAGCAGATTTGGACATGGCTGGTGGGAAAGGAACCAGACAGGGTCACATTTCCTGTAAAGGGTTAACTGCACCACTTAATTCATGCTTTGTCTTCATTTTCTTCTGTCTTCACCCAGAGTCAGGATTAAAAACACGATGGAGATGAATTTTCTCGTGTTTGGGTTTGGTTTTTATTCAATCTTATCTAAAGTACAGAGAGTTCTGCAACACTTTTACCAAGTGAGCAAAATGGAGCTGGATGGAGCTGGTTACAAGGACTTTTAAACCTAAACAGTCCAATAAAGAATTAACACCAATATTATTGATACTTTTAACCCAATAACCAAACTCCTGTGACCCCCCGTGCAGCACTGACTGTCCAACCAAAAACTGCCTGAAATCCTGGAGAAGGAGGGAGATGAGCACAGAAAGAGACACCACCCAAAATCCTCCATCTTGCCCCACACCTGTTATTATATTATAAAAACCCCAAATCCCAAACCCTTCACCGTGTGCAATCACACACTTCTGTTTAACCACACACCCGTGATTTTAACTCCACCACTCAAATTTTGGAGCCTTCTCCAAGGAATTGAGTCCAAAGCTGTGTTCTCCTGGGGGTCAGTGTCAGAAAGCACAGAAAGCTCAAAACTGCCAGGCTTTTGGGTTCCAACAATTTCCCACTGCCAGGCATCTCCACAAGGCAAAAATCAGGGAGCTGAGCCAGCCAGGAGGGGCTCAGCACAAACTTGCTGGAGAAACTTGCTGGTGGCTGAGAGAAAAATCAAGGAAAAGGCACCAATTCATTCATGTAAACACCCTGAGAAGTGTTTTTATATAAGTTAAGTCTGAACCACTCCAATGTGAGGCTTGTGATGCTGCCAGAAATAATCCCAGACTAACAAAAGCACTGTTCTCTTAAAAAAAAAAAAAATAAAATAGAGATGGGGGTTTTTATACATCTTCTCTCGACAGACTATTAAGTGTCACTCTCAGCCTCACTACAGCTCTTCCACGATGAGAAAAATCACAGTCCATTAAGTCTTTCAAATGGCTTTACAAAAAAACCATGTATTTGAAGTGGGTTTAGTGGGAAAGGACCAGACTGACAGGGCTGGGAGATGAGGTTTCTCTTTCCCTTTCCAAACACAAAGAGCAGGGACACAAGTTAAGCGTTTTCCCCCTCAATAAACCTGAATTTTGTGCCTGTGGAGAAGGAGCTAGGGGAGATATGAAGTCCCTGCAGGCCCTGGGAGTGTCACCAAGAAATCCAGAAGCACCAGGTCATGCTCTGACTGAGCATTCTGCTGGTTTTCCATCAGCCACATCCCTCTTTATCCAAACATTTGGTCTGCAAAGGGAAAATTCAATGACAGAACCACTACACAAACCAGCAAAAAATTAGGGAAGGTACAGAATGGAAAAAAAGACTAATAAAAAGGAAAGCATAAATAAAAACAGGGATACAATAGACTAAAAAAGAAAAAGAAAAAAAAGCTAGAAGGACTTAAAAAAAAAATGTTCCTTTTCCTCAGTGCTGGAAGTTATTCCAGTTGGAGATCACAAAGCCAGATGCTTGAGCCGTGCTATGGAGGAGCTTTGGAAAGACTCCCTCAGATATTAAAAGTTCAAATCATCCGAATAATGGGGCTTAAGATCATAAATCAAGGGGTTAAACATTCTGATTGAAAGGTTACACACAATTATAACAGAGAGAGCTCAGAAGCAGCAGAGCTGGGGAGCTCAATGCAGAACGAGCCTCTCACTCTGGAATAACAAAGCTCCCGTATCCATCTATTATCCAAACATGAAGGCTTTAGGCATTTAAACCTTTAAACAGATGGGATATAATCCATATGTGTGACCACATCTGAGCAGGGATTTGTGCCAGAATGGGATGGAGTTAAGAATGGCAGAACTCCTTCAGCTGGAAAAAAAAAAATAATAAAAAAAATGAAGTTTTCCTTCACAGGGAAGGATTGGAAGGGAACTGGAGGGAGGGAGTGGCAGGGTCATGCTGGGAGGTCGGGAACTGGGGGAGGTTTGGGCAGGTCCAGGGGGAATTTGGGTCAGGAATTTCCTCTGCATCACTGACATCACCTGTAGAGAGCTGAAAAAGTGGGGTCTGAAAGTCCCAGGGCAGGGAGGAGAGGAGAGGAGAGAGAAGGAGAAAAGGAGAAGGAGGAGAAGGAGAAGGAGAAGGAGATGGAGAAGGGATCACCAGTCCCTCAGGGTGGCCTTCAGGAGGGTCTGTACTGCTCTTCTGCTCATTAAACATGTGAGATGTAGCTCCAATTAAAGGAATTTCAGATTTTAGAGTCCAGAGCAGCCAGAGAGCAAACCTGAGCCATGGGGATCCCGTGAGTTCCCTGCACCAAAGGAGAGATTTCACCTCCAGTTAAAAATATCCTCCTGCTCCTTAAGATTCTGTTTTCTTTGGAAAGAGGGTGGGGAAGGGGGTGAGAGATCTCCAGCCATGGGCCAGGGAGTGCTGCTAACACCCCATTCCCTGTTTGCTGGCAGGGCAGTGGAAAGGCCTCACTGGGATATTTCCCTGCACAGGAATCACTCTTGTTCTGAGCTGAGCTTTTTGGGAAGAAGGTGGAGACTCGAGCCACCAGTCCCACTTTGCCAGGGAGTGTTTGCAGGCAGTGAAGAACCAACCCCCTGAGCCTGGAGGAAGGAGACAGGAGGACAAAATGCTGCCACCCTTGCTGGATTTGGGGGGGGGGCTGGATGTTGGGAATGGGCACTGCCAGGTGAGGAGAGGCATCCTCAGGGATTGATGTGATCCACCTCCTTTTCCTCCAGCAGGCTGTGAGCAGCACCTCTCCCTCCACTCATCATTTCAAGCCTTAAAATGAGAAATCAGATCTTCCTGGCTCTGGCCAAGGCTCATTTGTGACTCTGCCATGTAACAGAACGGAAAAAGAAAGTCCTCCCACAGCTCCTCTGGGACTTGAAATGCTCCATATAAACAACGCCCACTGCAAGGGAGGGGAGGGGAATCCTTAACAAGGAAAAACTTACCAAGGATCCCTGACAATGACCAGAGTCCTCAGAAAGGGCACTTTTCACCCTGGAAAAGAGCCCTGGGTGTCTGGTGCTTTTCCCACCCCTCTCCCCGTGCTGGGAAAGGTGGGAGAGCAGGGGAAGAGCCTGGAGGTGTGTTTGTGTCAGGCAATATCCACACACACACACACAGGTGAGAGGCTGGATCATGGAAAGCCCCAAATTTGCCTCCTTCCCACTGCCCTGCCCTGCTGTGACCCCAATCCCATGGGATGAGAGCTGGCCCAGTGCAGCCCACACCTGTTTGTGCTGCTGCCTCTGCCTTGGCTCTGGAGCTGTGGGGGCCAAGCAGGGAATGCTCCAAAACTGGGAAAAAACCATCTGGGTTTGGAACAGCTCTTTGCTGCAGGTTCCTGCCCTGCTCTGCTCAACAAATCCAGCTGCCCTGTGCTGGATCCCTCTCTGGGCACAGCAGATTCCAGGATGTGAAGGGAGCTGGGACACAGGGCAGGACACCTGCAAGGACAGATGTCACCCCAAACGAGTTTATTGCTTCCTCCATCGCCCACTGCCACGAGGGGAAGCCAAAAGAAGCAGCCACCGAGGCAATGAGGAGGAGAAGAGCTGCCAGGTCAGCATTTCCCACGGGAAAACACAGCCAGCTGTGCCCAGCTGTGCCCAGCTGTGCCCTGCAGACCCCCCCCTATGCCACCTTGCTGGGGCTCCAGAGAGGGAGGTGAAAGGACTGAAGGAGGTGAAAAAGCACTGCTGGCACAATGGGCTCAGCTGGAGCTGCTGGATAACCTGAGACTTGGAATAATGACTCCTGGCTTTTTGGTTTTTCGGTTTTTTTTTTTTTCAGTGGCAGAAATTGAGGCAAAGAAAAGAAAGGGACTTGTCCAAGGCCACAGAGCTCAGGAGACAGGGACTGAGCCCACAGCACTGTCTGTGTTCCCTGGGCTGAGCTGCTGCTCGCAGCCCTCTCGCAGATGGCCTTGTAACTAAGCAAACTGAGTGGGACTGAGCTCTGGATTTGTTTTCCAGACTTGTCACACATTACTCATGTGATCTCGAGAAAAGTCACTTCATCTCTCTGTGGCCAAGTTCACAGTCGATGTATCCTCCAGTCACTTACCCAAATCTGCATCTGTGCTTTTCTTCATATCCTTCTGAAGTTTTTTGGTCTGATCTTCCAATCTGAAAGATGGGAAGAGAAAGAAGGCAAAGTCGGAAATCTTGGAAAGAAAGAAACCCAAGTGTATCATACGTGCAACAAATCATTTACGGGCTGAATATGCTGGCTTCTGGTGGGAGTTAAAAATATCCAGGCAAGGCTTGATGAAGTTCAGTGCAGCTCAACCCTTTTGGGTTGTTTTCAGATGGTTTTTAACCTTTTCAAGTTGGTGATCTCTTATTCATAGTTCGCATATTTCCTGAAACTTCTCACACTTAGCACAAATGGTAAAGCCAAATGCTTCCACATGATCCCTGTGAGCTCCTGTGACAAAGTGGCAAAGCCACTCCTGGTCCTCTGAGGTGTTGGGCTCTTTGGGGACCCCGCAGTTTTCTGGTAATTTTACACTTTTTTTTTTTTTTTTTTTTTTAAGCTGCCAGAATCTGCAACCCCACTGCAAATACTTCTGAGGACACCTTTGAACACCCAGAGAAACCCTGAAGATCTGGAAATTACAGGGCAGCGAGGGATTTGCTCACTGGGAAGAGCATCCCTGGCTAAAATTCCCTGGGAAGATGCAATGAGAGGAGGGAAGCATGTGGCTGGTCCTGTCTGACCTGTGTGGTTGATACTCACTGCTGCAGCTTCCCATATTCCCTCTCGAAGTCTCTCTCCACCTGTGGAAAGAAGAGATGGAAATCAGTTCCAGGGGACTGCAGGGCAGCCTGGAGTGTGCAGGGAAAGCTGTCCTGGGAAATGCCAGGCTGAGCTCAGCACGAGCTGCAGCTTTAATGGGAGTTATGCCTCAAAAGAAAAGGAAGTTTTGGGGTTTTTGAGCCCCAGACTCTCTTGGAGCTGGCACTAAACATGTCAGCTTGAGCCAAGGACACGGGCTGGGAGCTGATGGAGTAAATGGCAATGCTGTAAGAGCAGGGAGGTCACAACCTAGCATGAGCCTGTGTTCCCTCCCAAAAACAGAGGGGAGCTGCTTCTCCCCCAGCCCCGCTGAGGACCCTCAGGTGGGTCTGGCTGCTTCCTCCTTCCTCATCCTCAACAGGACGGTGAAATTCCCCCCAGACCACCAGTGAGCCTTCCCCTCTTGGCATTATTCACCCCCTCCACACACTCCTTACCCCCACAACAGCTCCATGCCGTGAAATTCTCGGGCTGGAGCACAACCCCAGTGGCCTGTGACACCTCCAGGAGGGAGGGGAACCCTGTGCTCCGAGCTCAGAGCTCCAGCCCAGCCTTCTCCCGATGCTACCTCAGTGCCTGCTCCCTCCTACTTGCTAGCTGGCAGCAAACCTCCAGCGATAGGAGATATTTTAAGGAACTTTCTTTCCATGCTGACTGTTTTAACACACTTAAAACATTCATTCCACACCTCGTCAACCAGAGAAGCAAACGGATTTCAATTGACCAGCCAAGAGTAAATCCGTGCGCGTTTGTTGTCATGGGATCAGCGCTGGGTTCAGTTGTGTTGTCAAGCTCCCGTGCTATTAAGGAAATGCAGAGTGGTGGGAGCAGCCAGGACTAGAAGGATCCAAAGGTTTGTTCCAATTCTTCCTGCTGGCCCCGGGATTTCAATCCCAGGCTCCATGCGGCACCACAACGTTTAATGGGGACGTTTGCTTTTCAAGCGGAATTGCTGTTAAAAGCTGAAGATGGAGATAAAAATCTCCTTTTTGAAAACATCTTTTTTTTTGGGTTGCACTTGAACTCCAGCAGTCCACGCAGTGACCAGCCACATTCCAGCCCCATCCCAGCACCCAGCTGTCCCCACCATCCGCTCCCACCATCCGGGGGATGCGAGCTGGGCTCTCTCTCTCCTCCCTCCCCCCCGCGCCGCTCCAAAAAAACCCTCCCCTTGGAGCTCCAGCTCCCTTTTCGTGCTGCTAAAATTGGGTGCTGGAGAGAACAGCCAGGGAGCAGTGTGGGGGCAGCTCACACGACTTGTGCCTGGCGTTCGGGGAGCCGCAGAAATCCGAAATCCGCGGCAGCTGGCGCCCCGCAGGTCAGGTAACCAGCACGGAGCAAAGCTCAGCCTCCATCCCCGTGCCTGTTCCGGCTGCTAAAATATCCAGGGACTATTGCACTCTATTTATAGGCCTTAGGTGTGAATTGTTTTGGTTGCAAACCGCACAGGGTCGGGCACGAATCAAAAATATCCCCCCCCTTTGAAAGGCTGGGGGTGTCGTTCCCTTCTCGTTCCCTCTCCGTGTTTAGGAGGATCTGCTCAGCAACCAATTCCTCCAAAAGCTGGAGGGTTTGGCTGAGGAATACCTGAAAATATTCAGGGTTTCTGTCCCTTTTTTGTCGTCAGATTTGCCTGTTTCTGTGCAATAATCAAAAGGCATCGTTGTTTAAAGGACATGGAGCAGCTTCCAAGGCCTAAAGGGGCTCCAGGAGAGCTGGAAAAGGGACTGGAAAGGATGGATGGACAGGACACAAGGGAATGGCTTCCAATGCCAAAGGGATGGGATTTTGGGAAGGAATTCCTCCCTGTGAGGGTGGGGAGGGGCTGGGATGGAATTCCCAGAGGAGCTGTGGCTGCCCCTGGATCCCTGGAAGTGCCCAAGGCCAGCTTGGAGCACCCTGGGATGGTGAAAGGTGTCCCTGCCCATGGGATAAAATGAATTTAAAGCTCCCTTCCCACCCAAACCATTTCGGGATTTTAGGATTCATTCCATAAAAAAAGCAAAACCTCCCCACCCTGAGACCCTCTGGGTGCTGTGAACCCCAAAAAACCTCCTGAGCTCCCCCAAAACCCCCACCCCAGTACCAGAGCAGGATCCACACGGGATCGAGGTGACTCCACACAGAGCCACTTCAGCTGCCCGGCCTGACTCACATCCCCAGCCCCATCTCCCAGACAGCTGCCCAAGGATTGCTCTTATTTTTCACGCCCACAGGCAGCAACTGGCTCCCAGTCCCCACAGTCTGTGAGCTCTTGGAGCCTCCCAGCCATGGCTGGAGCCTGGATATCCCATAAAAACAGCTCAGAGGAGCCCTGGAGAAGGGAAAAGCTGCTCTCACGTGCTCCCACCCAGCAGAGTCACAGGCAGAGCCCTGCAAGGAGGACAAGCTGGGAACATTTTGCAGAGCACACAGTAATTCCCACTCCCAGTAGCTATCCATGGTCACACACAGAGGCTGTGGAGAGGATTAGCACGTTAAGAGTAACGAGAACAAGAAGTACAGGCAAGAAAATTACAATATCCTGAAGGGAAGTTTCCGTATTATTAAAATAATCCCACTGCTCCGCAGCCTCTTTCTGAAAACTCCAAATCAAACCAAGATTTCTGTATTGAACCTTTTTTTTTTTTTTTTTTTTT